AAATTAATACAAATAAAATTTAATCTTTATAAAATTGAGAAACTCTAATCAGATTTTTTTCAAAAAAAAAAAATTCTTTCTACTCTTTACGATTCGACCTTTTCTTTATCAAATTCACATGTAGATGCGAGAGAAAAAATGTCAAGAACAAAACTTGCAAATTTTCAAGTCATTAAAGTTTCTGCAAAAACTTTAAATTTTAATTCTTGAAGAAAAACCACAAATTTTCTCGAGGCTAATCGTCTTTTTCTCTTAATTCCGGCCATCGTTATGTCGAGTTTCTCCATTTCATTGATTGCAAATGCAGACCACGAAGTGTATGACGCATACGATAATAGACACTAAAAGGTGCGCGTAGAATGACGAAGAAAAAAAAATAGCGCGGCGCTTGACCCACGGGCGATTGCACCGATGCACGCGTCTGTAAAGGCGCAACGCAGAGCATTACACCGTGGGTTTCATGAATGTTTCATCGATGCGCGATGTGTATAACTGTATATCCCCACGGGCCCTTGGATATAACAGCCACCCGGCTGTTCCTCGCGCGTACAACACCTAATGAGATTTACGATTCGTCACGCCGCCGTATTTCACGGATCCGAACGCGACTTTTCGTAAGAACAACACAGAGTGACACTTTATTACCCCATCGTATTTACCTCATTGCGCATCTTGGTGGGCCCCGGGTTTCCCGTTACGAAATAACACGGTGCGTCTCGTTTCGTGGCCACTCACGTGGAATTTTCGAACGACGACGATAACGACGATGTGACGGCTGTGCGCGTAATACACGTTATTACAGATCAGCGACAACATGGAAAGCGGTATAAGCTATCATATAAAACCGCGTCGCGTTTTTTTCGCGATGTACGACTCGTTGATTCTTTGCGATTGTTCCTAGAAGTCTAATTCGATGGACAAATCTCGTATTATTCGGTATCAGAGCGACATAAACAAATGTTAAGAGCAAGAAATGATTATTTTTCACACTCAAAAATATACGTAGCAGGTGCGCCAAAATCTCAAGAAAATATTACTCTTAGTACTTTAATTATATATTATAAAAATAAAAAAATTTATATTCTATAATTTATAAATTTATATCACAGGATTCGAATCTTTATAAATTTTTTATATAAATTCTCATATATATCAATAATTTAAAGATTCGAACCTTTATAATTTAATTAATTTACTTCTAATATTTTAATTATATATTATAAAAATAAAAAAACTGACAAGACTTAGTGATTATTTTAATATGATCATGATTAGACTTCATGAAGTGACTAAAGACCTAGATTTAGATTAGAGGATCTCTAGAAGTGACAAGCACGTAGCTTTTATACAGCCCGTAAATCATCTGAAGCTAACTCCTGCGACGAGCGGATGGACGTTTGTCGCGAAATATCGAAAAAATGTGTGTGATAAAAAATATGAGGCGAACCAAGGCCATTAAGTCGTTTACGAGGATGTCGTCGGGATAAGAAACGGTAGCGTCCTGCGGTTCGCCTGGCTATTCGATTCGAGGCACCTGCTCAGCGGGCACTGAAGTTATGGGTGAAGAAAATTGCCGCGCGGAATGCCTATCCATTGAGAAGAAACTCTTCGAGATCGTTTTTCATGATTGCCGATTTTTCCCCGTTTTCTTTTTCTTTCTATAACGCAGGAGGCGATAGAGTTTTAATCAGGTACGGATCGGAAGCAGATGAGCGGTAATTGTCCCATCGGAGAAAGTCTCATTTTCTTAAAAACGTAAAGTAATCCTATTTTTAAATATTCTCTAAATAACAATCAAAAGGGCAGAAATAATTTCGGAAATAATTTTTCAATTTTTGTGATATCATTATCAGTTACTTAATGATTCTGTAATAGAGCAAATGCACGTTAATGAAAATAACTCTGGTTAAGGACTATTTATATAAAGTAATTTCTTTTCTGAATGGAAAAATATAAATAATTTTTCGTACCGTGTAACATGTAGATTATTAGATGCGAAGTTTACTAAATTAGTAATAAAATGACTATTAGATTTAATAAATGACAGCTTTTTAAAAAATTTAACTAATATAAAATCATCAACTGAGATAGAGTATCATATCTTCATTTGAGAAAACTCCACTTTTATTATTTTATGTCATAGAGATACGAAAGGATACAAGAGCTATTCGCTAATCCCTGTTAAAATATTACTTAGAAGTATAAATTAATAAAAAAGTGTAAAGGTTAAAATCTTTTTTAGATTTCGCGTAATGTCAAAGAATTTTCATTTCACTGTTTAACATACGGTACCTTCTCACTTCTTCATATTTACTTTATTAACGGGCAATCGATTCCGAGACGAAATGATACAGTAGAGATGCGGCACGGTATGGCACACAAACGGGAGAGTGGAAAATGGGGGAGGAAGGGGTAGGGAAGATAGACTGAAATCAAAATGTAATGGACTGAACGGTACAAGATATTAATACCACGAGCAGAGGTAAAAATATTTTCCATTAGCGCTCATTGAGAGCGCAGGACAACCGCCGCCGATCGTGATGCATCGCATCCTGTGCACGCGCCGTGATGACGATTCGCATTAAATGGGAGTACGTGTTTCGTCAGCTCGCAAAATCATCTGACCACGAACATGACCGGGGTAACAGTCGGAAGTGCCGTCTGGCTGACTGACTGGCTGCTGGAGAATAACATTTGTTTGAAATCGTAACGGTGTTTACGGCCGTGTATGTAACGCCGTGCAAACCGCAGGCTACTGCGTCCATCGGGGGGCTGTTATTATCCGCATCGAGCGATCCAAGGATTAGCCTGGATTCGGCGCCGTCGCGAATTATAATGAGAGATTAAGAGAGATTGATGAGTCCTCAAGACTGGAAGATCAGACGCGGCATTGAAGACGCGACAGCGACAAGAAACGATTAATTCGCATTTGCGTGACAGAGATTCGTAGCAAATGCTTTTGCTCTTCTCGAGATTATTTGCCGAAGAATCGATCGGCTCCAGGGGGCTCCCTGTCCTTTTGCAGCCCCAAGTTTACCGTAATTGTTATCATGCCGAGATAAGAATCGCCCGCGAGAAGGAATTCGATGGAATCGGGACTGGTGCTTTTATTGGCGCTAAAAACGACTTGTTTAGAGATTACGCATACCTAACCGGCAATAGGACCGAGATAACCGTTTATTTATCTTATGCGTAATGAATTGGTTTCGTTTGATACGTATCCCGAGGTAAGGATTATCGGGGCAACGTCCTGGAACCTGGTCAACGATCCGCCACTGATGATCCGCACCAAGATTCGTTGACGGGATAGATCGCGATCGATGACGATGATAACCGTAAGATTCATCAAAGATCTATGCCTTAAGACGAGATTGCCAGTCAGCCCCGCGCCAACTCTTTCCCGAGCGATTTATCGATCAATTTTGCAAACGCATTTCCTTGCGCGCTCTTGGCTGTTTTGTCCCTCTATTTCTTGCGGCACATTCTCGCAATCCGATTCTCCATTTACATTCCGACGTAGTCCATACCGCGTCACTTCCTGTTCGCCAAGGCGACGTTTCTTCGCCTTCCTTTCCACGCCTTTTCGATCGCCGTCTCCTCGCAACGCTTCGTAAAAAATCAGCGTTCAAAAGACCATCGGCTTTTTTTCGCCATCTTCCGCGGTTCTGTGTCAATCTTCTTGCGCTCTCGAGCAACGGTTATCATTAAAACGGATTAGATCTCACCGACTTTCCAAGCGCAACGGCTATATTTAGTATTTCTCAAAACGCGCGATATGTTTACCTATGTAAATAAATAAAAGATAGTTTTGCTCTGTTTGTTATTGTGAAAAAACAAAAAATGCGAAAGAAATTACCTATATAATTAAAAAGAAGATACGAGAGATTGTGTTGGTCTGTTTGTCACAATGCAAAAAATAGATTGCAAAGGAGGAAAAATAGATTGAAAAAAAATCAAAGAAGAAATAGTATGGAAAAAAAACAAATTTTTGACGCAATAAACTACATATATTTCCAGAAGATTTATTATAAAATTGTACACAGAAAAAAAGAAGTCAAATCAAAACTTATATACTTAAACTAACGCGTTCATTGTTTCGTATATAGGCAACAATTTATAGTCTTCTTAGGAGAATTTAATAATTTTAAATTTCAACGATATTATAGTCTTATTTTAATATTGTAATTGTCACCTTAAGAATATATAATTATTTAATTCTACTTTAAAAAAATTATAATCTTTGATTTAAAAATATTATTTTCTATTTAACATTGTTTCTTTTCCATTCAAAAAAATTAAATCTTGAATCATAAGAATATATTTTTCTCGATCAAACTGTATACAATGGCTTTCAAGTAAGCAATTGTTCAAGCAATTATATTTTTCTTTAATTAACGCGATATAATCTCATTTCAAGATTTCCATGTTAAAACTAAATATATTTTCAAAACAAGACTGTCCTTTTTTTCTGTGTATAATTATAATTTTAATTATATCTCCAGATGTTAAATTATAAAAGAAATATTTGTATAGTTTAATTTAATAATTAGAATATTTAAAAAATTTGTCATTCGAGAGGCTGATAAACGTTACCCTATTGACAGCTGATGAAACTTTAAAGAAACAGAAAGAAAGAAAAATGGAGAGGTAAGAAAGCTGAAGAAAAGTGTGCAAAAACTGATCAAACTAAATCAGTAAGTAAACTATTCATTTAAATATCTCTATGCGAATTACTTGAAAAATATGTCAGAACAAAGTATCTATCGCCACGTGACTCTAAAGGATTGCTCTGGCAACAGCTTCTTCGCTCGATTGAAGAAAGAGAATCAAAGAAGAAGAAGAAGAAGAAGAAGAAGAAGAAGAAGAAGAAGAAGAAGAAGAAGAAGAAAACACGGGGAGTCTAAGACCGTGGCGAAGAGAAGGTGGGGGCCCCACGCTTTTGCTCCGTTCCAGCTCCCGCGCCAAAAGCCAGACCGCCGGGGGTCCGTTTCAGTCTTGTTTCAGTCATCCTCATGTACGCGTAGACGCACCGCGGAGGAGGCGTTCGCCGCAGCTCGTTTACATCCTCTGCCGTCGTCACGCAACCCCCGACGCGCAACGCTAACGATCGCGCTTGTTACATCGGCGCGCGCTGTGATACATATACGGTCAATATATATATATATATATATATATATATATATATATATATATACGGACGCAGGTGAAGCAGGAAATCGACTCGACGGAGGAGGCCGCGTGGCCAGCAAAGCGGAAATAATGCGCGGAAGTCGTGGGACGATCCTCGTCCTGTGCACGATGATGAATTGCCTGGTGAGTCTAAATCGCTTCGTAATGAATCATTCCACGAGAGTGTCCCCTCTTGGATTTTAGCGCGGATCCTTCCTCGTGATATAAACACGAGCGAGCGCCGAAGCGTGGGCGACTTTCCTTTGACATGTGGATACGACTCGCATGACGATATGATGATTTTAATATAGATGTATATCTCGTGTGTAACATGACGCTATAATCTCTTTGCGTGAATCCCATTTCGAGATAATTAATGGGTTATTCAGAGAGAAGGCATAATCGGCATACAATCAGTAAATGTCACGAAGGTCTCAAGGACAAAAAATATAATTATTATATATATGAAACCGATTAAAATACTTATTATATTATTAACATTAGATTTACGAGATCAGATTCACGAGAAAATTACAGAAATTATTACTATTATTTCCTAGCAATTTTTGCTGACTTTTATTAATGGGATAATACGAAATATATACATATATTTAACATTAATAAAAGTCAGCAAAAATTGCTACGAAATAATAGTAATGGTTTCTGTAACTTTATTCGTGAAATCCGTCAAATTAATTCCATAAATCTAGTATTAATATTAATCTCTTATATCAATGGAAACTTATATTACACAAGTGTGTCTTAAATTATCGCACGTAATGTCACGTGCAACATTTTCTTTGAGCCAAAGTTTGAATAAATGAAACGATTAAATTGCAATGTTAAAGAAAGGTCAGTTTTGCTCTTGGAAAAAATTATATTCGGAAGTTTAACTTTACACATTTTTTTAACTACTATCACAGTTCTCAAACCTGTTTCAATATATCCTCCTATTTATTTTCTACGCGACGTATTATTCTCTTTTTGCTGGTGCGTGAAATAATTATTTCCCGTTTACGGTGATCGACAGCTTAAACGAATCATCATTATCATTCTTATACATATTCATTCACGCGTGGGCCGTGTATCGAACCGTTGTAGATTCTTATTAATACACAAGCCACGTAATAAACACACACAGGTGGAAGTCCTTTTCGTGCTACCGGTAGCTTTACCCTTCACCGAGTCAAGGTCATGCCTCTCGGACAGCCTCAAATTAAAATTCTATCAATGTCTATACCGTCGAAGGATAAAATTCTTTTTCTAGGAAGCTCGACTAGAAATGTCGACCGTCAATTGTATAATTTTAGGAGCTTGTCGGCATGAAGTCGCATCTTCCGGCAGAACATTAATTTTATTGGCGTCATCTTTTACGTAAGTAGAATCACGATAATTCTTCCGCCCGACCATCGTCCAGGTCGTTGGACTCTGACTTCATCCAACGGCTGACATCGTCGAGGTGTCATTCGTTGAATATGCGAGTGGCGTTAAAGAGGAATGCATTCCGGACCGGCATAATCCCCCGTTGGATTATCGCGCTTGAACCTCCCTCCTCCGACGAGAAGTAAATATTTTACCTTAAACGCGCGCGGCTAAAAGCAAAACGTAGCGTCGTCTAAATGCTTAAACCCCCTTAACTACCGTCATAAAATATCGCGCGTATTGATGGCCGCGTATGGCGTCATAAAGCCGCGATTATGTCTCGCGTTAAGGTGTCACGCCCTTTTATATATCGCATGCTTTTCCCGCGAGAAATGGACAAATTGAAAAAATCTCCAGGAATTTGTTTCGAACAACTCGATCTTTGATACCTTTTCTATGTAATAATAAAATTATAATCCAAATTTATGACTTTTGGAAAAAGTAGACAATATGCTACATCGTTCATTTTTTATAAATTTTAGATTATGATTTTATTATTATATAGAAAAGATATTATTTTTAGGATCTAAATCTCTTAATTAAAGATTTAAAAGGAAAATTTACATCCATAATTATTTACTAGAAGCTGTTGCCTATCGGAATATCACAGTTTTACTTTGGTGTTTTTTTTTCAAACAAATGGCTTTTAAAAAAGCGAAAAAAATTGAAACATTAGTTTTCAATTAACATATAAATGCAACGAACTTTATGCTTTTCGATCAGGTGCCTCCAATATATTATTTTATATTTCTATTAATGCAACGTGTGCATATGCGATTCATTTGCGATTCGGTGTACCGTGTGGAATATTGAATTAAACATTAGCCGTTCTTTTATTAAATCGTGAGGGACGGAGCAGGAAAGAGAAGCGTTCGTGCGTGACTCGACGAAATTTAACCGATGAAAGAGCACGATCAATTCCGTTTTTCCGCATCGTGAAGAAAAGTTCAAAGGCAATTGCTTCCAACGAGGGTCTATCTTTTCAATTGCGTATTTTTGTTTAAAATGCACCAAATGTATAGCGCCAGTCTTTTGAAGGAAAAACGAAAGAGAAACAAATTTTGAAAAAAAGAGAAAGGTGTGTCTCTGAGAAGCGACAAAAATAGTGACTTTATAAGACTTGAATAATTTTCAGGTATATTACTCTGCACAGTACTATAGAATATTCGAGCAAACAGACGTTAAAAGGTTCTGTGCCTCTCATATCCTAAATAAATAAAACACGTAATGTGTGTGAACAGAACTATCACATACAGATCAGAATGTACTTTGACTTTCCTTCTCGTTTAGAAAAAATTTACAACTGAAATTTTATGCTAATGTTTTTATACCGAAATTAATTACAATTTGATTTATATTATAACACGTTATATTTACTAAAAAATATACTTTTCAAAATTTACATTATTTTAATAAAATTCTGAATTTTATTTAAATAAAATTCAAAATTTTATTAAAATAAAATTCTGTCATAATTGATATCGAAATTAATCATAATCCGATTTAAATTAAATTCTCTATATCTTATATCTTACTAAAGAGCATATAACAACGTATGAATACACATTTTATAACAACATATACATATGACCTTTATCTTGCAATTCAGAATCAAAGATCTCATTGTCAGAAATACAATCGTTTCAATATCGCATTCTCGACTTCTTATTGAACAAAATTATTCTGTGATGCTTCTCCGACCTCGTGCTCATTGAACTCGAGTTTCATTAGTTTCCCGCTCTCACTAACAAGAAGAGATCTATTGTTTTCGTGGACGAGGTCGAGGAAAATAGATCAGCCACGACGACCATGGAGGCCAATTTGCAGGCAAACAGAACCCGCCCCTTCCTCCCATCGCAGGTTTGCATGCGGCTATAGTTGCAATCCTATCTGCAGTGTCGATACAGCTCGTGTCCTTCCTTTTTCCAACATTATGCAGCATATACCTTCGCCTTTCGAGTCTTTCTTGCTGTCGCGGCATCTCCGTTATTGCGAGCGACTTCATTCTACGTTCGAGAGAGAGCGATTTCACGAGATTAATGTCGGATATGCTCGAGGATGTTCGAGAAAATGTCTATGTAGAAAGTGTAAATAAGTAAGATATAGTTTTTTAGAAACTTTGTCCATAAAATTTATCGACAAACATGAAATCAAATCATTTTCTCGAAGGCTATCTCTCTACACCAAGTCTATGTTTTTGACATTAAGAGATTAAAATTTTGTTGAAATGAAAATTATTTCCAATAGAGATTAAATTTGCAAAAAGTTGCACACTTTTACTTGTTTATAATTCGGAAATTGTTCTTAGCCTTTTGTTTTATTTTTGTGACAAAATATATAAGTCAAAAGATCTCTAAAAGATCAATCAAATAACCCTAAGATGAAAAATATGTGATAAGATTTTATTCTGATACAGATCTCGAAATATCCTGTATAAATGGAGAATAATTTTCAGATAAACATGAATTTAATAAGAGAAACATACAGTACGATTTGCATGCGGAAAGTATTGACAGGAATGTGAATGATTAGTACAAGAAGATTAACGTTCGTTTCGAAGAGATTGCAGATGTACGAGCAGCAACTACTAAGAGTATCGCGAGTTGCTCGCTCTCGTAAATTTTTGCGGTTTTTCTTGCTGACGGGTTTTTCCCAAGTGCGCAAGTCTGCTCTTTCCATCACGTCTTTCGTTTTACTCTGCATATAATTCACGTACATATAGGGCGCAATTCCCGTGAGTCGAGAGCAGATGACCGGAAAATGTTCGAGTTTCTGATATACTATGTGAGAATATACATGTATATCTCCTATAGAATAATTATGACCGGTTCGATATTTTTATGGAGAAAATATCGTGACACCTTGTAATAATTAATGCTCAGTAATTACTCTCGCGGCAACGATTCGATTTTTCGACGCGATCTGCGACGAGAGCGCACTAATGACCGCTAAATTGATAGATGCGCGTCACGGAAAATTAACGTTGTCACGGGCCACAGTTATCCGAAATCGATAATCGATACGTTATGTGTAAAAATATCTCACGCTATTCGTTTAGGAAAATATCTGTTACACAGTTCGATAAAAAAAATAATGTTTTTTCCATATCCTGAATAATCCTAGTAATTGATCGATTCTAATTATTTCTCTAACTTTTTATAATCGTAAATTTTTTTAAATACAATCCTATTTTCATCGCATTGCAGTTCTCAGAAATTTAAGATTCAAGTTGCACATTAAAGATTATTCAACATACTACAAATATGGCATAACGCGTTGAAAAAGAATAAAATAAAATTTCTCTAAGAAAAACACATCACATGTATTATAGGAGATATAGCGTAGTAAATTGTTATTTCTTGAAATTGCTTTTTTTACGTAACTTCAATCTCAAGTTTTTTAAAATTATGATACTAGTATGCAGTTGTGAGAAAATCGTATTGAACATTGAGAAATGATTATAAGAATAATGTTATTCTCTTTTGGAAAATTTTTATTTTTAGAACTGTATATTAAAATATTAAAAATAATACATTAAAATCCTCTATTATTCTAAATACTTATAAAATAATATGAGTTATTAATCTGGAAAATTTTGAAATTCAAGTTTAATTCTACTTAAAAAACTTTACTGATTTCTTTAAATTCAACAAATGCAAAAGTGTCAAAAAAATATATTTTACGTTTACTAAATTTTTATTATAATAAGATATCAAGATATG